AAGGGGGCAGGTGGCCACAGGCACCACCAGGGTTTAACGCCTTTGCCTTTGGGTTTCGCCCGCTCTCCAGGGGCTGAGGGCACTCTGTTTCCCAGAGCCAAGGGAAAACGGGAGCATTGCTTCAGAGCCCCCCGCTTTTGGGGCGGAAATCCTGCTTTCTGCCACTGAAAGAAGACACTGCCCCTGGAGCGGCATAAAGGAGACCAGGACAGTGCAGACAAGGCCTTCCTGCAGAAAGGAAGACACTCCTGAAATGTCTTCCTCGTTTTATTCTCATCGGTACAAATCCGTGGCACCAGAAATTGTTGTTTTTCTCCGTGGTTTTTCCATGGTTTATCTCCCCCCATCGCTGCATCTCCACGGCCCGCCAAGGGCACTAAGGAAGCAATAACGTGAACCAAGGCAGGGACTGGGCAGAGATGTGGGGTGCACAACACGCCTGGCACTTCACACCTAGGTTAACCGAACCGCAAGCAGGAACACACGGCCGCGAGTGCCAAAAAGCCGTCTCCGAGTGCGTCATGTGCTAGGGCGTCATGTGCCACCACTTGAAGGAGAAGGGCTGGCGGTGGACGTTGGTGCCGCAGTGGACCTCCCCCAGGTTCTTGTGGTAGGAGGAGATGTCGTCGATGAAGCTGCACGTCAAGCCCAGGGGCTCCAGGAGGGAGCGGACGTGCTGCTCCAAGCAGCACTCCCCCTCGACGATGGGGCCGAACGGCTTGGGGATGCCCAGGTCTTGGGAGAGCACGATCATGTTGACCTGTGCAACGAACAGGATTACCTCCGGGCGGCATCGTTTTGCCCCTTCTGCGTTTGGCCCACTTGCAAAACCTTGCGATTCTGGCCGACTGGCCAGTTCGAAAGGTCTTTCGAGTCACGGCTGCATTTTCTGAGCCACATGGTGTCTCTTTCTGGGAAAAGGGGGACTGCTGGCAGAGGAGAATGTCTCGCTTCTCTGGACAATCCCAAGGGAAGATTTTGTGGGACGTTCATTGGATTTCATTGGAAGAGGGAGGTAACCTCTCCTGGCAAGAGCGGAGCAGCCATCTATCACAAGCTTAAGCCATAGATTATTTACGGGAAAAAAGCAACTCGATCAGTTTTGCTCTGCCAGGCTTGCCTCTTCGTCCAAGCCCATCCATGTCCTTGGGGAGGCGAGGGTCACGGCCAGGGACTGCCTGGCTCCCTTTCCAACCCACAGCTCCAAACCCACCGGATCTACAGGATTCTTATCCCAGCTTTATTTTAAAGATGAAAAAAGGATCTGGCTAAATAAACCTCAAACCCAATAATGCTGACTTATTAAAGAAGCCAAAAGTGGTGAAGAGCCCAGTGAAGGTATTTTATCCTGCAATTTAAAAAACTCTCTCTTTCTCTTTGTGACTGCCAGCCTTGAGGTTTTAGCTGCCTGGCTCTTGCTACGGTGCAGTCACCCCTGCAGGACATCTGCTCCTGGTCCTTACCAAAACCCCTCTCTCAGCCCAACGCCCAAATCTCCCCTCCGAGTCGATGAGGACCCGAGGAGCAGAGATGCCTCTCACCATGTTTGGGAAGTACGCCGTGGCCTTGCCTTTCTTGTTCATCTTGAAGAGGGCTGGCAAATCGATGATATCGCTCTCTGTCAAGCCCAGCTCTTTTTTGAGGATGTCCCTGTTCCAGTCGATGCAGCACTGGAGCGAGAGGCTTGGGGTTGGCGCGAGCTTTTGCTGAAATACAGCGCCTCTCCAGGCATCCCAGCAATGGGGCTAACGTGGGAAGCTCCGGTGGCCGGTGTGTGGGATGGCCGCGTTTGTCCCCACTGTGCTCAGACCCACAGGTTTCCCTGCCCGGGACCCCACTGATCGAATGCCTCCCTCCGTGTGATCTGCGCCTGTGGTATTACCTGGACGTACTGATTCTGTTGCACCATGATGTTGTTGGAAAGGACTTTGTTAATGGTGACCCGTTTGGTGTCTGTCCCGGAATAGCCTACAAATACAAATCCCCATCAGGGAAATGAAATGCCTGCTGTCAGCTTCCAGAAGCCTGGTTTGCAGTGCTTAAGAAAAGGCACAAAGACAGGAAAAGCCCAAGTTTCACATGCCAACTTCCTGACCAGGGCAGAGGTGGGAGAGGGTGGGAATAACACCTCTGGCTGAGGCTGCCAGGAGTCCCAGTAGTTAGCTTTTGGGAAAGCAGGCACTAGGGAAATGTCTGGCCATTTCTCAATATCCTAGCCTGGAGAGCATCTTGAAAGGTCGTATACTCCATCCTCCTGCCCAGGGAATAATTGGCTGCTGAATTTCTCTGCTGCCTTAGTTCCCAGCTCCATAAAGCCAGAGCTGTCGTCTCCGTATCATCCAGGTGCTGGGCGGATAAATCTGTTAAGAGGTGAGCCTCGGGACGGCTGGATCCTGGACAAATGGAAGTAATCTGAGCCCGGAGAGCTCAAGGGGCCCCTCAGAAGTGTGGATGTCTTTTCCTGATCCCATCGCAGACGGATGAATTTCATGCTAAGCAAAACTGAGATTAGAAGGTGCCCAGACTGTCTGTCCAGAGCAACCAGAACGTCACCGCTGCTCTTATGAGCTGGCTAATGCCTTGGCTGCTCACAGATGGTTTATTAGCAAACAGCTGCTCTGCCTGGGCAATAGCTGTGGTTTTAAATCAGAAATTGGGTCTCCAGTGTAGCCACTTTGAAAGAAATCAAGGCACTTGTAGCCCACCCATGGGATGGAAGGGCAGGAGAGGAAAAACTGCGCTTGGAAAACATCAGTGCCAGTTTGCAGCGCTGGTTCGGGGTGGCATGAGCGCCCACGGCTCCCACTTGTGCCTTATCCCACTTTTTCCAGCTCTTTGGATTGCACAGCCCAAGCCATTGGAGGTCTGATGGCATTTACAGTGGGCAGAGAAGCTCCTTGAGCAAAAGTCACCTCTATGCAGAGGGCTTTATCCCACCAAGCCCACTTGCTTTCTCAAAATAGGACTTGAGGGGGCTGGGTATGGCGCCCAGGCTGCCTGGGTGGGCAGACATCCTGCCACAAAGAAAGGCGCATCGGACCGCAGCTTGAAGGACAACCGCTGCAAGGGTGGGAAAAGGTCCTCTTCCTCGTGCACGCATCCTGAATACCCACGCGTTGGTCAGGTGCGTGCTGCCTCTTCCTCGCTCCCGCCCTCTGGTCAGCTGCTCTGCTCCCTGGGACCGACTGCCTCATCCTACATCAAAGCTGGCCTTTAGTTTGGGGACGGAGATCAGCACGTTTCCCCCCACCTCGTTGGAGACTTGCAAAATTCCTCCAGGCTGATGAAAGCACGTCTTTGCTCTGACCCTTCGGCCTCGTTGCCCACCCCGTTCGCAGGGCTGTCCTGCTTTGGCTGCAGCTGCCAGATAATCCCCTTACCTTTGAACATGGTGGCTTTGCCCTGGCCCTCCTTCTGCTTCTCCCGAAACAGCTTGTAGCACGCCGCGGGGCTGGCCATGAGCATCCGAAATCGCTGGGGGAAACGGGAGGGAAGGTGGTCATTGCTTGCAGCAGGGGAGCACTGCGCGAGGACGGCCAGCAAGCCCAGCTCGTCAGGGCACCCAGGCTCCAAATGGTTGAGGAAAGGGGTTAACGGCAAAGGGGGCTTATTTGAAGCTGTCACATTTGCACCCCTCCCCAGGAAAGCTGCCCTGGAGGGGCTTCAGAGGCTTTTTTGGCTTCTGTGAGAAACTCTAGCTTAGACTCGAACTTAGACATTTCTGCTGTCAAGCAAGGTGGGGGGAGTCAGGGAGGGCTGAGCAAGCAAGCGATCGTGCTCTGACTTCTTAGGAGGAGAGGGCAAGAAGGCAGCACGGAGCCATGGAAAACCATGATTCATGAATTCGCACGGTCCGAGTCTTGCGCGCGTCTGGCTCGCTCCCCTCCAGGAGGAGCAGCCTCCTGTCTCCAGGCTGTTGGTTTCTGATCCACTCTAGGAGTTGCTGAGCAGCTGGGAGCCCTGGCCAGCGCATGTAAATCTTGAGTCTCGTTAAGCTTCCTACGCTACGTTGGCAGGCACCTTGTTTTTCTCTCTCCTATGGAGATGTTAGCTAGGCAGGTTTCTTTCTGTGTTCACAGAGCACTTGTTTTGGGGACTTTGGAGATTGAACCCAACCAGTGGCTTGGTTGTTCAGGGTACACAAAATGAGCTGTGGGGTTTTCCCTGGAGGTATCCAAGTTAGATTAGTCACTTTGGGCTTTTCCCAGCTGCCTTTTGGAGGAACCAACCCTGAAAGCCAAACTGCCCTTTGGAGATGTCTTGAAGTGCAGCTGCACACAAAAGCCTTAGCCCATCCCTCACACAGCAAACAGAGCAGCTTCTTCTGCCCTTCCCCTTTCCCAAGACAGCAGAGACAGATTTTCACACCAGATTTGGGTTGCTGAAAGACAGGAGGCTACCACCACCCTCAGGGTAACCACTGAGCAGCACAGCCCTCACAATTCCCCCAGCCATGTGTTTCGGGATACTGCCTGCTTACCTTTGCGCCAGGACCGGGCACAAAAGTGACAAATTCGTCGACGTGGCCCACGGTCAGCCAGTCAGAGTAGAGCTCCACGGGAGACTGCACTTGCTGGGCATAGAGGAAATCCCTCACCACTTTAGTCATTCTCCTCCCTGCAGATCTGGTGGCAAAATGCCCCCGAAAAGAGGGAATAAGGGAAAAACTTATGCATATATCCATGCACACATGAATGACTATCGAGAGGAAAGAAGGGTGAGGTGGAGAAGGGAGTGAATGTGAAGGCAGAGATTTAGCGCTGGGGCTGGGCGCTCCCAGGTGCACCCACTCCACAGGAGAACAACAGATTGGCGCCTGGCCAGCCAACTGTTGATTAAGGCCCTCGACACAATTTTTTGCGTGGCGTTTAGGGCCGCATTTGCTGTTCCTTTGCTCCCAAACACGTAGGTTTTCCATCTGTCTTACATGGGGAAGCTGCTTCCGATGAGGATCCTCCCCAGGGGATATTCCTTCCCACCGACGGTCACCGGTGGGCTGACCTCCAGGTTCCCAAAAGAGTCGAGACTGGTGACAACCTCAAACAGGGGCTCTCTGGTCACATAGCCGAAGTCTGGGCCCTGGGAAAAGAGAGACTGCTGAGGCTTTTGTCCCAAATTCCCCCCTCTTTGAGGTAGATAGATGTCCATAGATTGCTCCTGGCCTTTCTGTGCAGATGCTACAGCGGGAGGGAAAGGGGCTGTTTTTCAAGGCGTCCTGGTTAAGTTAGTGGGGAATGGCACGGGATGGGTTATGGGAAAAGACTGCGAAATGACCCTTGGGCACGCGCCCCAGTCATTTCCCTGGCCCTGAGGCTTTGGCAGCACAGGCAGTGCAAGACCTCTTCTCCCCTGTGGGATGGATCTGTGCTCGCTGCATCTGGGGCTACACCCACTTCCCAGGCAGAAATCCAGCTGAGTCCCTGTCATATCCGTGAGGCCACACAGCCACTGGGGATGCATGGATGAGTTTTAGCTCCTGGAGCGAGGCTCTGCCCCAGTCACCTCTTCTGTTGCAGCAGGGCTGCACCTCGGCTGGTCAGTGGTTGTTTTGCAAGGTCACGGGCTCCCACCCACAGGGAAACGATCGGGGGCCTCGTTTGGCACGCCAGACCTCCTGGCAGCTGCGCAAGCGGGTGGGAAGGTGGCTAGTCTCTCTGGCAACCAGAACCGTTTGCAGGAAAAATTCAGACACGCAAAACATTCCTCCTGCTGGGCTCAGATCTGCTCCAGGGGGTAAAAATATCAAGAGCAAAAGCCATCTCTGGGCAAGGGCCAGCCTCTGGAGACAAAGAGGCAGCCCTAGTCTGAATGCCTCTGAGGAAGAAAGCCTCTGAGTCAGCCGGTCTCAGTAATAGAAGGCAAATGCCAGGCACAGAGCTGGAGCACTGAGCCAGAGATAGATCTCCTCTGGCATCCCGCAGCCAACAGTTAAGTGTCCAAGTTAAGCTAATTATTTAGGTGATGGGGTAGCCTCGAAGCTGAAAGTCTAGATGGCTCATGTCAAGTGAGAGCTTGAACTCAGCCCCGGAGGGTAAATCCACCCTAGGAATAAGAACCTCCTGAAGGGCTATACTTCACTTAAATCCAATTTAAGCCTGATTTTGAGGACTTAGTATACCTGGGATTTAAGGTGCTATTCATGCAGAGGTCGTTAACCCTTTGTGCTGTGGTTGTGACATGCCGGACTCGAATGCAGGAGGGAATGATGAAATATTAAAAAAGCAAGGCAAAGCCAACTGCCAGCAGCAGGACAAAAACCTTGCATTAGTTCTGCAGGGATCCAGGACATAAACACAGTCTCTGGGAAACTACAGGCTGTCCTTGTTCATTCTGATTTAAGTCAGCATGGTTTTGAAGCTCATGACAGTGCGATGCAGCCACTTGAACAAGATCAAATACCTCCTGATCTTTTCTCATTAAATCTCACTTATTAGTGTTGCATTTCCTTAGGGGTGAAGCATCTGGCCGAATGCTTCGATTAACACTGATTTCTCCAGGCTGCATCCTCGAACGGCTCTCTTTAGGCACTGACATGACAGTGTTTTCTTTTCTGTAAGAGGGTATGCTCCTGTCGCGTTTATCTCTCCGTGGGCGTCCACCCTGCGTACTGTGCGCACTCTGGCAAAGCAAACGTGTGATCCTGTGAATTCTCAGTGTGAAAACTGTGAAGTCCGGCTTAATGCAGGTGTGATGGTGCTCAGGGCAAAAGCCTCAGTGTCATCCTGGGGCTGGAGAGATGCAGCGGAGAGAGGGGAGCTGCAGGGACGCAGTAAAGGAAGAGAAGCGCCCAGCTTAGTGAAAACGAGGGGAGGGCACCCGAGGGTGCACAATTAAGAACTAGAAGTTTGCTTTTTTCATCGAGTGTGTTTGGAGAAGCTGGGAGCTGCCAGTTCCACCCCCCTCTGTTCCCTGCACATCTCTGAGGCTTTTTCTCCGTCGTGCTATGATGTAGCCACAGAACAAAGAGCTTGTTCATGCAAAGCAAACACAGCTGTAGCAGACAGGATGCTCTGCCATCCCCCCATTCTGGGGCAAATCCTGGCAAGTCAGGGGTTCCCACCTAGTAGAAAACCAGGGCAGCTCTGCTATGCGGGGATGTGACAGGATGCAGTGGGGCTGCCTTTCTCCAAGGCTTTCCATGCGTTTTCGGGGGCATGTTTGGAGGATGGCTGGGGGTCAGAGATCCTTTCCCGGGAGGCTCACGGACGCTGTGGGAGGGACTGAGCGTCTAACACCTGCTCTCAGCCTATTTCCATTTAATAAGCCGCAGAGCCAGAAGGGTTTCGATTGTCACATCACTGTCATGTTCCTCCCTAGTGCTGCTTCAGCCCAGGTTTGCGGGTAGCATCCAAGTCCTATCAGTTCCAGATTGACTTTGAGGGGCTAATTCCCTCCCGTCTCTTTTTTCGCCTCGCTCAGGGTCCCAGAGGCTTAGAGCTTTGCTGCGGGAGAGGAGGACCCGTGTATGTGCTGTGTTTGGCTAAATTGTCCTAGCTGGAAAATGAGATTGGAAAGATAGTGGGGATTAGGGGAGGATTCAAAGCAGAAGATTGGAATATAATATGTTAGCAGCTCCAAAGGCTGAAATTGCTTCTCTAAATATGAAGCAAAGCAATTCCTAAAGAGGGCAGATACGAGTAGTTGCCTGACTTACTTGTAAAGGAGCAGATCAGCATGCTATTCTCATCCTGCCTGACGAATCCAGGACTGCATGTACTCATTTCAGGCATGATAAAAGATGTATTTCAACACTTTTGAAAGCAATTAACCTTCCCCAAACCGATACGCAGCAAAAAAGTGAGCTGCTGATGTTAAAATGCCAACGCACTACCCTCTTCTCTAGTTACTGCCGGGGAAAAGGGATAGACTGAGGCTGCCGTGAGGACGGACAGAGTCCCCTCGAGGGCCTGTGGCTCTTTGGACGGGGCATTAAGACACGGGGGTCCTTCGCTAGGACGGGAGCCAGCCGCCGGGCTGCCTGCCGCTCTCTGCTGGGAGCTGTCAGGCGGTGAGTGGGCCCCGCAGGAGCCATCTGTTGTGATGCTGGATGGGTCTGGCTGGGTTTATGGGGTCAGAGAGTTCACAGCTACCTGAGCATCTCCTGCCTTTTCTGTCCTGGGTAAAGGAAACAACACAGATGGTGTAATATGCAGGTCTCCATCACTACATTTGACGAGGCTGTGTGGTTTAATGACGCTGGAGGCTAGACTCCAGCTTGGCGAAGTCTCATAGTCAAAGGTTTGGCCTTGAAGCCCTCTTCTGTCCATGCTTGTCTTCACTGGGCTCTCCCAAAACGTGCCGGTCAGGGACACTGCTCTCCTAGGCAGCTTGCTTTGCACACCCTTCCTATGCTGGCCCTTTGCATTTGCCAGAGAAGCCGTATAGGCATTTGTTGGCAGTTGGCTGCATCTTTTGAGTAAGTAAATTACCTCCTCTTACGCTTTCCTTTCCTCTCCCGCTCAAGAGCTGAAGCATATTCACGGGTGCAGAAGAGGAAAGGAAAAACCAGCTCACGGCTCAAAAATTTGGTGTCAAGAAATTCACCCTGTCCCAGAGTTTGGCAGAAGTCCTTCTTCTACAGACAGGTGAACTCCTTCCCAGCCCCTCTTATCCTGGGGCCTCTGGATTAAAGGTGTGGAGAAATCGGAGGTTTCCGAGACAGGCTGGACACAGCCTGGGCTCCTGGGGCAACACAAGAGAGAGCGACTGCCTGCGGAGGGGCCAGCCTGCTCTTACCAGCAGCTCCTTGATGGGGAAATCCTTCAGCCCTCCATCTCGGGGGGAATCCAGCACCACCGGGAAGCCTTTGTGGGGAGCGTGGATGTAGCCAAACTCAATTTCATCCTAAAAGGCAGAGGGAAAGCCAGACATTGCATAGTTGCAGAGAGGAAAGGCAGCCCCTCTGCAGGGCTCGGCTTTAGAGGAGGGTTTTGCTGGGCAGTGGCCCTGCCTGGCCCCCTCTGCTGCCTCCGTACCTGCATCCAGCGATCCCCACGGTTCAGGTAGCCATAGCAAACCTTCAGCTGGCAGCCGGCTTTGTCCACTAGGTTCTTTATCTCCTTGAGGAAGAGGTAATTGTCCTTCACGCTGGGAAGGCGAAAGGTGAGAGGGAAGTGGTTGAAGGGGTGTTGGCAGATGGGTACTCGCGCCCAGCCAGTTGCCTTCCCCCCTGCCCATCGCCTCCCCAACAGATGGGGCAGATACCCAGGCTCTGGCCGCCGTGTCTCGGTGACCCAGGAAACGGCCCTCGTAACGGCCCCTAGGTCTGTGCCAGCCCAGGCACTGCTGCACAGTGGTTTGTGGCCCTGTTTTGGGCACCTCGGCTTTTGTGGCTCATATCTCTGCAATCAGAAAAGTGTTGCATGATTTCCTATATCGTGAGGGGATTTCCACTGTCTTGTGAACCAGCTGGCTGAATCCAGCCCAGCTGAGCCCTCAGTACATAGCTTCAGTCAGCGGTGAGACTCTCACCGTTGTGTCTGGGAAGGACAAGAGTCCACAACGGGCAGCTGGGAGGGTGCTAGGGCTGCTAACAGGGTGCCCGTCCTTCCACGAAGCCCGGCGCGTGTTAGCTAGCCCCCCAAGGAGAACAAGGAGCTGTGAGGCTGGGGTGGACCGATGCGGCTGCCAAGGCATCCTCCGTTGGCCCTTACCTGCAGACGAAAACATTCACTGGCGCCAGCGTGTTGGGAGTCATGATCCACGGCGCTATCCTGAACACCACGGTGTCGGTGAAAATCGGCGTGTGGGGGATACCCTGCAGGGAGGAACCGGGGGTGCCACGAACATGCTGAGAAGTGGGCAGAGCTCAGCGGCAGCGGGGCTGTTAGCGGAGGAGGGCAGCAACAGCTACGTGCACCGGCAGTGGGGCCCAGGAGGGCCAACGGTCACGGCAGCCAAGGGCTGCTGCGCTCTGAGCTCCCGCAGCCGAGGCTGGCTGAGGTGTAATGAATTCCCCCGCGGTTTTAGCTTGTCTTATTATTCCCTCTAATCCAGAGCTATAGACTGCAGCATCCTGGGAACTGGGGAGCGTTGCCCTTCTTGCTGTCACCTTTATTGCACTTTATGGCATAACAGCGAGCCCAGGCTGGCTGGGTGAGAGCTCAGTGCCAGCAGATCGGCCGGCCCCCGAGACCTGCTTTGCCCCCACGGCCGGGGCAGGTATGCGGAGCATCCCTGCATCCCTATGCCTGGCTGGGATGGAAGCAGGCCAGGGGAATCGCCTGAATTTACAGCAGGGCAGAAATGCTAATTGCATATCACTTTGCACTGAGGTGAGGGCTAAAGAGCTATATAAGGCAGCAGGGAACCCTGGCCTGCAGGCCTATCTACAAGCTGGGAAGTTTTAGAAAGGTATTGGTCTCCATTTACCACTATGCCACCGACGTACCTTACCTGTGAGGTCATTTTTGAGTTAAGGTAACAGCTACTCTATGCCCTTTGGCTGCATGACTCTCCATGCATTCCCCATCCCCTTCGTCCACTGCCCTCGAGCCGTTGCGGCCTCCCATCAAATGCCCCTTCCCTGGGTGCCTGCAGACCTCGGCCAGGGACTCCAGGAGGCTGACGTGGATGGAGACGAGCCCGGGGAAGCTGTCATCAGGGAAGCGGAGTCCCTCGACGAAGAACTCCAGCTCCGCAAGGCCACCCGCGTACTGCACGGCGTGGTACAGCTTCCTCCTGCCCAGGATGTGGATGTAGCGCTGCCCGAAGAAGGGATCTGGGAAAAAAGGGAGTGTTCAGGATGGGCTCGCATAGCTGTCGTTCCCCAAATTTCAGTGGTGGCCTGAAACTCGTTTCACGTGTTCGCATCCCCGGAGATGAGGTATCACAGCCCCTCTGTGCTGGAGCTGTTTCTCTTCTGCTGCTGGATGTATCGTCTGCCCAACAGAAAAATCTTAACACTAGCTCCATCTCTTGCAATTTTGCAATCACACGGCAAGGGCAAAGCATCCCAGATCCTTTCCTTCCCTGGAGCCACTGTTAAAAGACATTTTTCACAGGACGTCTGCCCTTGCAGACCCCCGACCTTGGCGGCCGGGGGTAGCAATGCCTGCAGACTCCTAGGTGACAGGCTGAGACTTGAGACCAGTCGCTCGCTCGGCTCCTGGATGCTTTCCTGATTAATTCAGTGGGGTGGCTGGGTGCCCAGTCCAGCGTGCTGTCATCTGAGCTAAGGGAGCGAGCGCTGAGCAAGCTTGCCAGGCCACAGTCTTGGGTTTCAGCTGGGGGAGGTGGATTTGTGGTGCCCTGGAGGGCTGGGATGGGATCTGGCAGTGAGGAGCTGCCGTCTGAAATGCTCTCTGCATCCCGAGGGAGAGAGGGATGGGCTGTGCATGCCTCTTCCAGGCTTCCCCAAAGTGATGGATCTAGTCTGGCACCACTGGATGTGGCGATGGGGGCCCCACAGGTGTCTTTGTGATGCTATTTTAACCTACTAAGCCCACGATGTTAATCAACGCTTTCTGTGATGCTCGTAAAAGCTAAAGGGATGTGGCAGGCCCTGCTTCCCAGGTGGGCTCTGTGCTTTCAGCTCTGTCAAAGCTAAACCGCTGCCCTGCTCCCCTGGGAAGGCAGTGGTTTGCTGCCGGTTTCTGCACAAGGGTGTTTAGGCAGCTCCAAGGGCGCCGGCCTCCTCCTGCCCCTTAAGCATCCAATTTTTCAGGCTGCCAGCGTCTGCCATCCTCCAGAGGAAACTGATCCCCTCTGATGGCCCAGCTGGCGTGTCTCTGGGCCCGCGCGGGAGGGGATGGAGGGCAAAGGCTCGGGATCTCGGTAGGATTTCTGGTGCTAGTCTAGTCCCTCTCCCTGCTGCTACGCACATGTGACGAAACGCACGCCTTCCTGCTCCTCTCCTGGGGAACCCCTCACAGATAAGGGTTGTGCCACCCAGGGGAGCTGCGAGTCCCAACACAGCCAGCATCACCCTTCTGAAAGTGCCGATTTTCTATTGCATTGCCAAGCTCTGCCTGTTGGTGCAGCAAGGTTGTCTAGCGGATAAAGCAGCTGGTGGTTGGGGCACTTGCTTTTGTTTTTTCGCTACTGCTTTGCTGGATGGCCGTGAACAAATCACTTGACTGCCCCACACCTCTGCTTGCTACTCTCCAGAGTTTTTCGATCTCTCTGGCTCTGAGTGTTGCTGACCAGCCAAAGTGCATTAAAGCTGGCAAGTATTTTCTGAAAGGTTATTTCTCCATCTCATCTCTGTCACTACCCGCTGGGCCCTACAACTGCAGGGACTTAGGTAGTCGCCCAGACCTCGTTTCCGTAGGGAACCAGGCGAAGACGCCTGCCTCCCTGGTGCTGCTAGGAGCAGAGGCAGGAACTGACTGAGAAGGGAGAACATTCAAGCCTGGAAGAGTTGGTGCGGTTGCTAGAGAAACTGCCCATCACGGCCGGATAAGGGCTGCCAAGGACGCAATTTGCTTCAGAAGCCCGTTTTTGAGAGCACAGAAAGGGCAAGGTCAGAGGCAAAAAGAAAAGAGCTTATGGAGAGAATAAAAGCATCCTGAACTCGGGGAAGGGGCAGAAAAAGAGGCGAGAAAGGACTTACTCTGCACATAAAAGACCCCGACTTTGTCAGAGTCCGAGACGGGAATGTAGAGAACAATTTCATATCCCCGGGGGAGCCTCTGCGGGCCTTCAGTCCTCAAGACCATCCGAGACATGTCCAGCAAATCTGGGGTTTTAAACACAAGTGAAGTCAGGGCAGCCCAATCCCTCCCTGCTCACCCCAAAGCCAGATGCCTGCTTTTCACGCTGCAGGGACCAGGTCCATTTGTCAGCTCACGATTAAACACCCTGCAGGGGTTACACCACGCAGCTCTGACCAGGTTGCGTGCTTCCTCCCCAGGCCTGGCCAGGCTCGTGCTCGTGCTTTGAAAGCGTCCTTTTCCCACAGCCCGTTCCTGGCATCACAAAGCTGATGGGCGCCAGCTTTTGTGTGTGTGTGTGCGTGTGTGTTTTTTTTTTTTTTTCTTCCAGGAACAGATGGGTATTCCTGGCTGCCGGCCCTACAACTCTATCCTAGCTCCGAGGTTTGGGCCATTCTTTCCCATTTCTCTGTCATCCGCATGAAGCATCCCTAGGCCAAGCTCTGCTATCTGTGGCACCTTCGTGACCTCCGCTGCTTTTTTGACTGTGCTTTATGCCCCTGCCAGACCTCAGGGGAGGCAATTAGCTTGCACTGCACAAAAAAGAGGATGGGAGCATGATCCTGCACAGGAAGCTTGCTCAGCAATTTGGCTTCGGGAAGCATGAGTCAGAGCAGTGATCAGCCCATGGACAACCAGTTCCTAAGCAAAATTTAATTTCCAAAAAGATCAAGCCTGGCTCAGGGAGAGGGACCAAGGATTGAAAGAGCGTTTTTGCATTGCTCGTTTTTGAAGCAGAGCCTCTGAGGGATGCTGATGGGCCTGCATGGCTCTGCAGACGTAGATTTACCAAGTGCACAGGTGACTTTTTAAAACTTAGTGATACACAAATAATGTGAGATTTTCTATTTTTTGTAAGGATAGGCTCTCTAGCTCCAATACTGAAGCAGTTTTCCAGTTCACTAGATGCTGAAAAGCAAAACGGAGCTATTTCAACCAGCAGGGACCAAAAGGATGTGGAAGTTGCATTAACAATGTAAAATGTTAACATTTGTCTACTAAATCTAAGATACGCAATTTAGACTGTAAACATTGTCTCCTGTCTTGCTGACCCATGGTGTTATCAGCAACTGCGGAATGAAAATATCCCCCAGGGCTTTTAGCCTGGCCGTGAAGAATCAGGGTTGGGGAGGGCGAAGGGGCCATGTACCTTCTTTGCTGAATACTCTTTCGTCATCGCAGTCCAGCGCGGGAACGAAAGGGCTTTCCTTGTCGCAGTTCACAAGCAGGATGGCCCCATGCCCATCTGGGCCCCAAGTCCACGTTGCCTAAAATACACTGCCTTGGCTTAGCAAGTGCCCAGGGACCGTGGCAGTTGTCACAGACCCGGGACGTGCTGGGCACCATCTGGGCTCAGGCTTCCTTTCTGCGTGCAAAAGGCCGGGTTTGCCCATGGGCTTGGCAAGAGCATTAGCTCCCGGGTTGTTTTTGGTGCTCTGGTTTCATGGATTTCCCCCTTGACAGCGGGAAGGGGGAAATCTCTGCTTGTCCTGCACGGGCAGAGATGGGGACAGGCAGAACAAGAGGGGGCTGTTCCTATTTTGCTCCTGCAAAGCTCTGGGCTCCCTAACTTTCTATCCATGTTGGGAAGGCAGAGGCTGAATTACCTTGTTGGGGTTGTTCTTTTCCACCACTCCGTCCCGATCTGCATCGACGTCCAGAGAGATCCCTGGGAACACAAACACCCGCAGTCAAGCCTTTCTCCAGCCCCAGCTAAGGCAGGTTTTGACAGGCAATGCAGCTCTGAGCGGGGCCGAGGCGTCTGCTAGGGACTTCTGCAGAGCGGGATGCCTCTCCTCCTCTGGCAGAAATCACCAGGAACAAGTCTGGAGGTGACATGGGAGCTGGCGATGGACCTGCGCTAGGAGAAATGAGTCTGGTGCTGCTGGGAGCCAGCACAAGAGGTTTTGAGGCTGGTGGAGAAATGTCAGCGGGCTTTGGGTTTTGACTGGCTGAGGTTTTGCCATGACCTTTGGAGAAGCAGTTGTTGCTGCGGCTTTGCAGAGTTTGTTGCATGCAAGAGTCTGTCTGGCCCGGCTCTGACCTGACAAATCTGAGCTTGTCTCTGCTTCCGCGTTACGGGCCCTGCTCAGAGCAGATGGCCTGAGTTCCTCTGTTAAACGAAGCAGTTAATATTCATGCTCTAGATATTACCTAGGCCCAGGAAAAACACACAGTGCAGGTTGGTTTATTTTCAGGATTTGGGCCAGTCCCAATATTCACTCTGCTGAGAGCACCTGAGATCACAGTGCTGCGTTTCTCTGGCCCTCCGCTGCTTCCCTCCAGACACGCTGCTGCCTTGGCGACACACTTAGATGTTTTCCATTGCACTGAGGTATGGGAGCGAAGTGGATTGGGTTTCCAGGCGTGTTTCAAGGCATCATATGAGACAGCCTGGTTGGTGCAGAAGCTGTTTTGTCGCTAAGACAGTGGGGAGAACAACTCGCTAAACTATACAGTTTCTTTCAAGCAAGTATTATCAAAGGAAAGGGATTGAAGAGTTTAACTCTCAAAGTATCTCCCACGGACCTCCGCACAAGGACTTGCTCCCACATTGCCCTGCTAAGCCCTCAGAGGTGACCAAAATGGACTTTGCTGGGGCATTTTCTGAGGGAGCAACAAGATCCTTCTGGTACTGTCGGCATTTGCTGTTGGCTCTCCCTGTGCGCAGAGCCTCCCAGGTCATGCTGCTTGCTTTGCTCCCGAAGGATGGGATTTTCGCAGCTCTGCAAGCGGGCAAAGAGGGATTGCAGCTCTGGCTGTGCCGTTGCAAAAGCACTCGTACTCACCGATGCCTGTGAGAAAGACCCCAGCTTGGTCAATGGGCTGTCCTTCTTCCTCTCCATAATAGCTCACGGTGACCTGGAAATACCCAAACACACATGAGTAGCAAGGGCAGGATGACAGCGCCCGGTGCCTGTGGGCAGGGGAGCGATGCTTCGGTCCGTGGGAACCTGGCGAAGGAAAGAGGCTGTCTAGACCCCCAGCACCCCGCTTTTCACCTTGTTGTCATTGACCTCCATGCTGGCTTTGCTCATGCTGAGTCTCAGGACCGTCCCCTTGTCGAGAGGCCACCGTGGCCCCCCGTTCCCCGGCGCCACCTCCACTTGCTCCCCGGTGATGACCTCCACATTGACCGCCTCCGTGTGCTTCAGGCTGAAGGAGACCGCACCGGCCGGAGCCGCTCTGCAAAGAAGTTTTCAGAGACCGGCGCTCAGCTGAGGCAGTCCCAAACTTGCTGAAATTCGGAGACCAGCAGGCACCCAGCACTGTGCTATGGCAAGGATGAGGTTTCACCTTGGCTTGCAGCGGTGCCATGAGCAACCCAAAATGCTCAGTTCCCAGAGCAATTACTCTCCCTCCTCGAGACAAAACCAAGACCAGGCATGCTGGCATCTCCACGCTCGCCACCAATTCCTTTCTACCTTCCTGTCCTTTCAGAAAGCTGCATGTAACTATCACTGCCTGGGAAAGTTTTAAGGCAGAACATGCTATTTTGGAAGAATGAACCTATTTTGCCGACACTGGGCTTTTTAGCTTATAAAAAATGAGATTGCAGTCTATTACAATTACAGGCTAAGCATCTAGCCCTGCTGGAACAAAAGAGCTTGTTTTTTTGTTTTGAAGTTCATTTCAATCCAGAAATATCTGTTTATTTTTAAACTGAGTCAAACCCAGTATTTAATAAGTTACCATGAGAGCGTTTCAACTGAGCTGAAAGCTTTTACCATAGGAAATTCAAATTTAGGGGTGATTTGTCCGAGCTAGATATAGCAAGTATTGCACCACTCGCAGCGTGACCTACCCTTGCCTTTCTCGAGCCGCTCAGCAGGTCTCCCTTGCCTCTCTTGGCTCCCTGTCCCTCGTTTCCCTTTGTTTCCAGGGTCATTATTTTGGGGCCGCTTACATTTCGCAAGGTCCGGCCTCACTTGGAGCGTCGGCCTCTCCAGCACGTGTGCGGCCAGCCCCGTGGCTGTGGCGCTGACACCCGAGAGCACCCGCCGTATCACCGTTACAACATCCTTTACTGGGCTGCTGGATGCTGGTGGCCCCATGCTGCGCGGGCACGGCTGTAAAACCCTGAGCCAGTGGCATCAGGGGAAAGAGGAAATCTGAGCGCTTGCTTGATGCTATCTGGGCATTTCTTAAGTTGTTAAATTGCATTTAATTAGGCGTGCAAAACTGGTTTGGTTTCCTTCTTTCTGGGGTTTAGGAATCCCACCGGGAGGAGATTTGACCTGGAGAGAAGACGGATGAGCTGTAACTGGGCTGTATTTGTCCTGAGCATCAAGGGTGAGATAATAAGCATAAGCAGCTAGGTGAGGACCGGCACTGCCTATGACTGATTGGAACAAAGTATTTAAACACAATGTTTTTTTCTTTTGGGGAACAACTGTCTTGGGCTGTTCTGAAGTGCAATGTTATATTTGGTTTTATGGGCGTGGAGTTTATGTTGTGGTTACTTGCACGCTCTTTCAGGATGCAGCTTGTCACCGGGTCTTGTTTTCCCCTCGTCTCCCAGTGCTCCCAGCTGCATCCCCTCCTTTGCCATCTGTCCCCATGGTCTCCTGCTCTTTCCTTCCATGTCCCAACCCTGCTTGTTCCTCCGGTCTCTGAATTCCCAAGTGAATATTGTTTGGTAACTGGGTCTGTTGACCACGGATGGATGAAGCCGCATTTGGAGACCGTGGGTAAATACTTTGTGTTGCACAAACGCTGACACCTGAGACTCTTTGCTGGGACTCGCGCAGATTTACCAAACCCAGGAAAGAATTTGCCCGCTCCTCTGAGAGAGCTTGCACCGACAGCGCGAGTCTGTCGTAGATTAAGAGAGCGAAAGGCCAGGGCTCGCTGCTGGCAACGTAGGCAGGGCATGTCCCGGCTTGGAGCGCAGGCAGCTAAACACCTCATCTCCCTCCTGGATGATGTCCACCAGCCAGCCAAGGCTTTTCAGGAACAGTTTTGCAACAGCCCGGCACAATCTAGGAATCCCGGGTCTCTTCAAATAAAGCCCCGGGATGCCGCAGGGGTCGCAGACATTAGTGCCGCAGAAGGACTCGGAGCAAGGCACAGTCCTGCTTGGAAACGTCAAATGGGGTAGGAATCATTCGGACATGGTCTTAGCCCTACAGAGGAGCTGGATCTCTCTGCAGAGGGCAAAGCATTTCCCTTAATGCGGGGTCAGACCAGCCTGAATAGCTGCATCTTCTCCTGGCCAGCAGGTTGGAGGTTCCCTCCTGAAAACCAAAAGCTGCGTGCAGACAGGTCCCAGGGCCAAAACCCGCTGGGAACGTACTGATTTTCCAGCGAGGGCATGCCACGTGCTGTAAATCGAGGCTGTTTCCTTGGGGAACTGTATTAAATTGCAAGATTTTAACAGCCTGCCCTTGGCAGGGTTGGGTCCCCGTGCGGCGCAGGGGGCTTCAGCCCCTGTGGACCTGCCATGAGCATGCCGATGCCTCCCAAACCACCTGGGAAAGCAGGGCTGCAGGATTAAATCTCTTCTCACGCCTGTGAATTGAGGCAGGGGAGTCTCTCCTGGGATGGAGACACGGCATGGGGGGATGTGTGGCAGTGACCTGGCTTCAGGAGGCACAGGAGGGGGGCTATTTCAGCTTCTCCACCCTCTCGTCGCCCCCAAAAACATTTCTGGGGGCTCCTGAAGAAGGGATATGCAGGGGTTTGGGAGCTGGGCAACAGGCCAACCTGCAGATTGGGGGAGCAGAAGGAAAAAAAGGGTGGGGGGGTTACAGAGGAAGGGGTGAAGGCATGGGGGAAAAGGTGCAGAAGGGGAGGGAGAAGGAAGAGTTAACGTGTCCGACTCACCCGTAGACATCGGTGGAGATCTGGGTGCCCAGCACGCACAGGGCCTCGATGCGGCTCCCGTACTGGAGCCGGAGGGTGCGGTCCCGCAGCATCTTGCCACCCCCGCAGCCCAGACGCCCTGACGATGGGCACACGCGCCCCTCGCACCTGCTCCAGGTGGGACTGAGCCCAGGGCAGCACCCTGCCTGGGTTCCTCCTCCCTCCTCCATACCCCGGCACGCCTCCCAGCTCCTCTTCCTCTTCCTCTACTGGACCCACAGAAAGTCAATCATCCTTCCTGGGGGGCCAGGCCCTCCCTTGAATTTGGGACAACTCCTTTGCAGGCCCCTTTGCCCCCCCACCCCGCTGGCCCGAAGGGAGAGGGCTGTTGGATTGGACCCTCTAACGCCGCATGAAAATGATCTCAGAGGCTTGGGAGGGAGGGATGGAGAGGGAGGACGGCTGGCCCGAGGCCCGGCCAGCTCCGAGTCCTTTGCAAGGAGCTCCCCCAGCTGTCCCTAACTCCGTCCCCAACTCCCCGTCGCCCCCGGGTCCAGCACAGCGGCCGGCCGGGGGCCGTGTCATCGCGGCAGCCCAACCCCAAACCTCAAACCGAAAGGAGAAGTCAGGAGGGGAGGCGGATGCGGAGATGGCCTCGGGGTGTTTTTGCAGCGCCGCCGGTGGGGCTTGGAGTTTTGGCTGGGGTCTGCGATCGTGGGGGATTCGATACCTCTCGCGCTGCCCTGGCCGCGGCAATTTTCTGTTGTCTAGGGAAAGCCTCTAGCTGCTCTTTGGAAGAAGAGGCAAACTTTCCAAGTCCTCAGGCTAGCAGGACACTCCTTTCTTCCCTGCTTATTTTCGAAGGGAAGCTGGGGAATGAGCTGCCTTTGCTTATGCTAAAAAGGGGAAGGTGGAGGTATTTTTATACAATGAACATGCTGTTTTGCTGCCCTGGTAATGCAGCAGTTCGTGTTGGGAGCAATTGCTGCCCATGCAAGCGTTTGCATTGTTTTTTAATATGAAGCTAAATATCCATTGTAAAAACCAAACCTTCTTCCTCAGATTTTGAAATAACCTGCCACAAGCAATTAAAAAGCAGGAACCAGAAACGTTCAGTTTGATTGTCCTTCTTTGTGTTCCTTTTAGGCTTTTCTTTTTAGCTAGGGCACGGTAAGCGAACTCAAACACAGTTCCCCCTCCAAACCGGATCCTTTTTCTTGCCGCGACCTGAGCCAACAAGCACACAAACAGGGGCTTTGCGTTGCTGAACCTCGTCCCCACGCAGACTCCTTGGGAGCACAGGCAGTTTCCCCGCTTTTCTGCACATGCCGAAGAAATTTGTGGCAAGAAATATGTTTTATTAAAGGCCATACGCGTGATCACCAAAGAGTATAAGAAGAAGGCACGCAGCACCAGCCTCTGAAGCTTTACCTGTCCCAGGTCATCGTGGTTCGAGCAGCAACACCGCCGTGCAAAATTTAACGTGGGGACGTGCTGCTTGGGTTACGTGAACCTCAGATTAGAGGCCCCAGGCCGAGACCTGCCTACGCCTGCAGCTGGAAAACGCACACCCTCTCTTCTGAGACGCGTCACTATTTTACCCTCATCTATTTAAACCACCGGGCTGCGAGAAAGAGGAACCAGGAAAGAAGGAAAAAAGAAACCCCCCCCGAACCAAACCCGTGCGGTGTTTGCACACGCTGGCTCTGGCCACCGGCTAGTGGCTCGGCGTGCCGCAAGGCTCCTCGTGCTTTTTTCTTTTTTCCCCTCCAAAAACACAGCCGCCAGCAGGCATCTCCCTCGTGCCGCGCCGGCGACTCGGCGGCCGGGACGGCTCGGCGGCCGGACAGACGTGGGCTCGCTTGGGACCGATGCGCTAGGGGACACAGAGGTGTCAAAACGCTATTTTGGAAGAAATCGAGTGAAGAAAACAGCTTCTCTTTTGCCTCTTTCACTTCCCGATTCCTTTGCCTGGGCATTTAGTATTTCAGTTGCTGGCAAGGAAGCCAAATGCTACTTTAAATCCTCCCTTTTCTTTAAAAAAACCCCAAACCCCTCCCATCTTCCAGAAGGACCCCAAGATCGGTACATCACTGGGGATTTTTAAAAGCAGCGCAAGTGCTTCCAGCTGGTCACACGCTTGTTGAAACATGGATTAGCAAACCTGGGGAATTAAGGCAGCCTGAACCCTGTGGACCCGTAGGGGAGGGGAAGGAGCGTAACCCGCTACCAAATTTGGGGTTGAAACAGGTGAAAATAACCCTGAGCGAACCCAAAACCGAGGAGGAAGAAACCGCTCGCTGCCAGCACTGTGTCCTGTGAGGTTGTCTTGGGCCACGCAGGCAGGGTGACTGTAGCGCTGCGGAGGAGTAGATGCTGGGATGTTGTTGCCTAACAGCTTGAATCATTTTATTAATGGGAATTAGCACTAATTTGGACTGCAAGCGTATGATTTCACCCGGATTATGAGTAACGATTTGCTGTTTTGGTTAGGCTGCTGGAACATGACTTAAGCTAGCGATGGCTGGTAATTCGTGGCGCTGCTGCGTGGGAGCGCTCGCTCGTGCCCGGCGCGAGCTTTCGCCCGGCGCCCGCGTCGGCGTGGACGGGACGCCGGCCGAGCACAGGCGTCCTCAGCCACGCGGCTCGTCCCGCCGAGC